CATACACATCTGAATTCTGAAGTAAGCAATATCAAGATCCACCTCCTTTTACAAATTTAACAAAGATATATCAAGATATTCATAATAGTTAAGAACAAATATGTCTATAAATTTTATAATTCTTAGCTTAAAACATAACTTTAACTCAAATCTACACGAGCGTTTTTCTTTTATTGAAAGAAGGCGTAGACAATAAAAGAAGCCATGAAGGGTTGCAAAGTCGTGTTTCAATTGATAATACAACCAGGTTGTGTCGTTTTTTTCTTTGACTGCATTCACTATCTTTATTAAAATTATGTCATGCAAAAAAAACTTCAGTTAGTTGAAAAAATTATATCAACACAAATAACAACAATATATAGACAGCAAATAATATAAGAGTTTTTATGCATAATTTTTGTAAGCATGAGTAAATTATATAATAAATCAAACAAAAACAATTGTATACACTTGTAAATCTGGAAAACAAAAACCAGAGTTCATGTCAATGATCCAACAAAAAAAAAATATTCACAAAACATGTTTTACACGTTATATATACACATGAATGGTTTCCTTACATATATATACATAATTCTAGTGAAATATTAATTAACACATTTTATTCACCATATATCAGATTAAAATATAGTTAGGGTTAATGATTTATTAAAAAATCAAATTAGTTATATTCGAAAAGGAAAAAAAACCAATGAAGCCAAAGGCAAACCTGAAGCTTGAGACTCAGAGAGTGTCGTTATTGCACTTTTGTAGTTTTCTGGAAAATTCAATAACGTGGGTCGTAACTCCAAGAAGGCTTATGATTATTATCGCACGTCTTCTCTGGATATGTTCTCCATAGAACTCGCAACGCCAACTTTAGCTTTCTTGTGTCACCATATAAAAAATATAGTATGTTATTAGAGATTTGATATAATCAAAAAGCTACTCTATAAATGAGATTAAACTATATACACTTCATGTGGTTAATATGCGAATGAATATAATCGATGAACAAAGAGAGAGATGACGAAATACATATTAACTCTTACTTTTAAGTATCCATATATTGCATTTAACTTTCCAAAATACATATTTTTTTAAAAAATGAAAAAGTTTATCAAAAATAGAAAAACCAACTTTCAAAAAAATGAAAGTTAGAAAAAGATAGAAACTAAATGAGTACTTCGTAAATTTTAGCTATTTTGCAATTGTTTATAATTATTTCAAAATTTTGAAATTCAGAAAACTTGGTTTATAATTATTTCAAAATTTTGATTATTTTTATATTTCCTACATAAATTGGTAATTAAGAGTCATTTGGTATTTTTTTCTGACAACAAGTTCCAAATCTAAAAAGGAAAAACCAAAACTAAAAAATCAACAAAAATGGAAATTATTTGAAGTTATAAGTTTATGAAATAAAGAAAATATGTTTAGTTTCTAATTAACAATAACAACAAAATTAACTTAATTCTAAATATTTGACATAACACATAACTATTGGTGAAATTAAATCCACAAATTTATGAAAATTACATGAAGTTATATGTTAATGAAATAAGGAAATCATGTCTTAGTTTCCAATTAACAACAAAAATAAAATTAACTTAATTCTAAATATTTGACATGGCACAACACTATATGTGGAATTAAATCCTACGTGGACGCCCTTAGGAGCTTATAACCTCAACTTTTATATAGTATAGA